CCTAAATTTTAAAAATTTTAATCGATAAATAGTTTAAAAAGAAAAAATCAAATTATTTACCAGTTTGATTTTCACTATTTCCAAAATTTAACCATGTCAACAGATAAGAATGCAAATAATCAAATAGTATTTACTGAATTTTTGATTAGGTTTTTTTTTCACTTTTGCTATAATTTTTAGATAAATTCGAAAGAGAAATGGAGTTTTGAATTGATGGTACTTTGACAATTGGTAATTAGAAATTGGACAAACAATACAGATGAAATAACGGTGGCAACAACAACCATAACAAACAAACAAACAAGCAAATAAACAAACAAATAAACAAACAAACAGACAAACAAACAAACAAACAAACAACAACAAGATTAGAGAAACAAAAACTACAACAGCAACAGCAGTAAATTGATTTGTCAAACATTAAATTAAAATGCATTTATTGCATAATTGATAAATATGAAAAATCATTGAAAAAAGATGTTTTTATCAAATAAAAATTGATAAATTTTTGTAGTAAAATAAATTCGAAATTATATTTTCCCTTTTCTTTGCCTTCTTAATGTATAATTTAAAATGAGCTAGAAAAGGAGAGAGAGAAAGAGAAGAAAAAAGAAAGTTTTATTGATTCTATAATTTCTTATTAAATAAATGTAGAAGAAGACAATATATTTTATCTTTGACTTATTTTTTCTGTGAAAAGGATTTAAAAATAAAAAGGCAGAATACGATAAATAAAATAGAAAATAAAATGAAAGGAAAAGAAAAAAAAATGAAAAAAAGTTGTTTGTTGTCTTTTCATCATTTACGATAGCCCAAATACAATTGAGGGATATATCATATCATTAAGACATTCATATTTGAGATCTTTTTTTTCCTTATAAAATGGAAGTACTAGAAGGTGAAAGTTTGAAAATTTCGAAGAACATCTGTCATATGATATAATGTCAAAGTTAAGGGTTGGAGATTAAACGTTGACCGTTTAAATCATTTGTTGTGATATAATATTTCAGTAATCATTGACAATTCGCTATATTTCTACTGCTAAAAATAATCATTATGTTAGCTCTTCAATTAAAATTTCTGTTTTCTAAAAAAGCAAAAACCCTCAAATTATGTCAGATTAATTTGATTTGCCCTTTTAATGAAATCAAAATTTTTGTCATTTTTCATCATATTTTAGGTATTTTGACAAAAAAAAGAAAAAAAATTGGAAATCATATATGTTAAGCTTGTGTAAATGGTTATCTAACTGATGTTTAAAATTTATTTTATCGAATTATATTATCCATTATATTGCTAATCAAATTGAAAAAAAAGGGAAGAGGATAAAGATATATTAGGAAAAATTGAAATTTTCTGATATCATTTCTAACAGTAAAGATAAATTAGTTTTATAGTATGTATGTCATTTAAAAATAAAAACAAAACTTTAGGAAAAACATCGTAGTTATTTCATAGATTATTATATATATATATATATATATATATATATGTATATATGCTTATCTATTTATTTGTTTATTTATTCTATTTATTTGTTTATTTGTTTAGGATTAATTAGCATCGTTGAACTGAAAGTAAGCGATGTAATTTATGATATTCCCACATTTTATAATTTATCAATGTTATCATATTTAGTACACAACATTTATTTAGTTTTAATCATTCAGAAGTTTACTACTTCTTTTATTGCAACAATTATGAAATGACAAATTTTTACTACAAAAAAGAGGAAAAAAAGTGGAAAAAAGAGTAGAACAGAAGGAATTAATAGGAAACACTTATTTGATAATTGATTTTTAGTGAAACATAAATTCTCTCATTCGCATCGATTTTATCACTATTTAAAATCACTAATCACTTGTTATTTTTCACTTCATCAATCAAGTTTAGTTAACATAAAATTTTAAAATCGGACACTTAATTTCTCAATTAATTAATTTATTAGGAATGTTTTTTAAGTTCGTTTTTGCTTTTTTTTTATTTGCTTATTTTAATTTTTACAAAAACTTTTGGATTGAACACGAAAAATTTTTGCTTTAGAAGTATCACAAAATTTGTGAATGAAATAGAAAATGATTGTAAAACTGAGAAACGAAAAAATTTTTAATTAATTCTAATAATAATAAATTTGTCGGCACTTGTGCTTATTATTAAATGATTGATATTATCTGTTTATCAGACGACACATTCATTCCACCTAATTATTTAAAGGATTGTAGTTTTGCTTCTTCTTTTTCATCCTTTTCCACTTTCTCTTCTTCATTAATTTTTTGGAAAAATTTTGAAGAAAAAGAAAGGAAAGAACAACGAATGTAGAAATGGGGAAAAAGTAAGTATTTTCGGATAGGGAAGAAGAAAATAAATGGAAAAATGAATACAGAATAGAATAGAAAAATCATAGATCTAATAAAAACTTAATTCAAGTAATTGTCAATGCTTATTTAACAAACAAACTGATTAATTTAAAGATATGCTGTCAAATTCAAATTTCTTTTTCTCCAATAATAAAGAAACGTAATTACTTGATCCTGAAACCTGAAAAAGACCTAATCCTGGAAGGAGAACTTTTAAATTGTAGCTAATAATGAATTATTAGTCAAGTGTAAGGTAAAGCTTCTCGAAAACATTCTGGTAAAAAAATTTTCCAACGTTATTCTCACATGTTGAAAAGTCTGTGATTATGAGTAGATATGCAAAAAATATCCAAGAAAATAGCTGAAAAAGGCATTTTTCAGTCAATACTTATTACTTTTTTTCGGAAAAGTAAAGATGCATGGACGAATTGAAATAGAAACTTTACCGGCCTTTGCTAACATTTGCTTTATACATTGTGAATATGACATTTCCGCTTCTTAGATACAAGGATACAATTTTATGATATTATGCGATGATTCAGAGCGGAAATCAGAATTATGTTAATGAGGACGACAGTATTATTTGACAACGACAAAGGAATCTTCTGAGATAAAAAACAATCTTTAAAAAAAAAAAAAAAAAATTGAAAAAATAGACTCAACAAAAAACAGACCTTGTATTCAAACTTTTAGTCGGATAGAAGAAATGTAAAGAATGAATTTTAATTAACAAATTAAAATGAATTAAAAGATGGAAGAATTTTTCGAAAACGGGAAGAAATTAACAAAGCCCATTTCTTGATTTTTTCTTTTTAATTTAAAATTTGTTAAAAAGACTTTTTCTTTTTTGAAAAATTTTGTTTATCAATATGCAGATATTGTTTAGCTGATTAGATTAAATGATCTAATGCTAGATATAGCAAAAATAAACAATATTTGTATTAGCTGAAGTAAAAATTTCAAATCATTGAAACATTTTCAGTTCATAATCTTTACTACTTACCTAGTATTTGTTGGATTTAACATTTGCATAATTAAATACAACAATTAGTATGCTATGGATCTAGTGGAGAATTTCTCGTGATCAATAAATGGATAATCGATAAAAAGTCGTTCGGTATTTTCTAATTCATACCAGCTGGATGAGAACTGATGAATGAATTACTTAAAATATTTTCATTTATTTACAGATATTAGTGAATTGGGCGCTTTTTGCCACCATTCAAATTTAATTTAATTTGATAAATAATAGCAATGATATTTGCGACTTTTATAATTTTGAAAGGCGACATCAAGCTTAGGAGAAAAAAATTATTTTATAAGTAGCTAATAATATTAAACACCAAAAAGAAATTTTTTTTTAAAATAATATATTGAAATGATTAAAAGTCAAAAAAAAACATTCAAAAATTTTTGGACTGAAATGATAAAAGCAATGGGTAAACAATTATTTTCAACGACGTAAACAATCATTTTTATGACACAAACAATGCAAACGAAATTTGAACAACAATAACGTTAACAAACAACTTTTCTAACTTTAATAAACAAATAATGCTACTGCATACAGCTTAGGTATTTTCGAACAATTGAAATATTTCGTGTTAGACTTATTACCATTGTTTACTTTTATTACCTGCAAAGGTATCATGCATGAGAATTTGTCTTTTCTGATTGAAATGTCACGAATAGACCACATGGACACACGGTCACTTGTTGAAAAACAAAAGCAATAATTGAAAAGAATGTTTTTTGCCACAGTAAAACATTTTGAAGAATCTTTGTCAATCTATGGGCAATACAGTACTCTCTCTACAACACAGTATTCCATTCGTAATACAGTACCCCCTCACAATATTTCTTTCTCAGCACCTCTTCAAAATAAAAAAAAGGCCATTATTCGTTGTAAGATTATGTGATCTTTTTTGTATGACTTCGTACTTGCTTATACTTTTCCATATTTTTTCATTTGTCAATCGGGTAAACAGAAAGATTTTCCATTTCACAACATGAATAAGTATGAATTTCCAGTTTTTTAATGTTATAACCTTTCCAAATTCATGTTTTGGCACACGTGAATTGGCATGTTGACTGAATATAACTTCGATATAAAAATATAACTATAACTGAAATATAAAAAATATATAGATATAAAAATATAAAAAAAAACCGATATAAAAAAATAACTATATATATAATTATAACTGACCATATCCAGTGTTATTTGTTCGATACTTGTATGTCACTTTACACAAAAAACGACAACGCATACACGTATGATAGTTTCAGAAGTAAAGAAAAATGAAATGGTTCAAAATTACTTTCTCCAGTTTTTATTAGATTTCCCAAAGAGCACTGGTCAATACACGAATAAGAATCAATAGCAATGTATGATAAAAGTCCAATAATTCTGCTACTTGGGTCATGTCTTTTCTACTTCCAGTACTAAGTTCTTTTTAAAACTTGATAATCAGAAGGGGAAAGAATAAAAATAAATCATGAATGGGAAGAGTTGGTAATAAAATCTCGACTTATTCTTAAAATCGATTTTTTTCTTGCGTTAGTTTTGACTTTATTACAAATATATTACAATAAAAGATGATTTCCTTTTCTCATTGAACATAACAATAATAAAAATGGTAAGTTGAAATCTCATATAAAAGATCACTTGGAAGTGACTCAAAGATGGCATTGTGATGACAGAGTATATTATCATCAGTGGAGATGGCTTTCAGCAGTAATTTGAAGTCCTGAAACAAATAAAGTTCGAAGCAATAATTAATTACAGTAAAGTAACTTACTCAAGCAAGATGCTTATAAAATCAAGCTTAGAGCCACTTTTGAACAGCAATGTCGGACTAGATCGGATTCCTGATTTGCAGTACTGTAGAACCGATGATAAAGAACGGTACCTCAACGTTGTGAACTATCAAAGTATTCATTCCGCAGCACAATCCGAGGTTATATGTATTTTTGTACTTTTATATTTTTGTGTATTATTATTATTATTATTATTATTATTATTATTATTATTAATTATTAATTTACTATCATTACTATTACTATTATTTATTACCCTATTATCATTATTATCATTATTACTATTATTATTATTATCATTACCATTGTTATTATTATTATCGTTGTCATTATCATTATCACTACTATTATTATTGTTATCATTACTATTATTATTATTATTACTATTAATTATTATTATTGTTATTGTTACCATTATTATTACTATTATAATATATATTAAATTATTATTATTATTATTATTATTACTATTATTATTATTATTATTATTATTATTATCATTATTATTGTTAATATTATTACTATTATTACTATTATTATTATTACTATTATTACTATTATTGTTATTATTATTATTATTACTATTTATTATTATTATTATTACTATTTATT